TACGTATTCGTTAGTAATTCAACACCATGGATGGGAATTTTTTGGCGCCGGACATGCAGTTAATGCAGCTAATCGCCTTAACGCCTTCTATACTTTACCCTAAAGCAAGCCGGTGTCAAATCAGTGGAGCGCTACCAAATCGTTGTGCAGCCCAGCACAATAAGTCAAAAAGTCACGACAGGCTCACACTGAATTGAATCAAATCAATCGTTTCGAGAGATCAAATTGCACTGCACGTTAACGCTCACAATTCAGTTGTGTTCGTTCGACGTGTTCGCGGTATTCGACGCACATGTAAAATAGATTTATTTAAACTATTCATATATCATATTTGAGCATAGAAATTTGACGAAAGATTCTAAAATTTCAACAGCGTACATATGTACAAAAATAAAACGAATTTTTGATAAGCAATACAGATGCGAAAGAATACACGCAACAAAACAAAAAACAGATATAACAAATGTTGATAAATGCAACAAAGGCATGTTGAGAAATTGAAAAGAGATTCATTCAATCAAAATGCTATAATATGATCCACTACCAATCGCAATATCGCTTACTTCTAAACGAAACGTTTCATCCCGTTCTCGATTACCCATCTATCAAGAAATTACTAACTGTAAGCTTAATCGTGCTATTGAGTTCTAAACATATAAAAATTCTACCAACAGTGCAAGACAATATCGCAAAATTCCATGATTCAGCATACGAAAAAAACATCACACTGAACTGAATAGTTGTTGTTCGGTGATATTTTTACATAACAATCACACAAAATGGCTNGGTTGCTCACAGCATATTTATTTAAAGCATGCGCACATGTCACCACTAGATAAGCTGCAAATCATGATAAGCTTTCAGCAACAACGACAACAACAGCGATAACTTAACCAGCAAATGCAATTTATCTATGAAGTGGGAGTGAACCTCGAGCACACCAGTACACTGACTAAACACTGATATCAGAGAATTGAATGTTTGAATGTTTCGAAACATATATAGCGATTGAATGTTTCGAAATGATTAATTGACAAATTGTTATGGTAAGAAATGCATCACTGATAATACCTGCAAACGTTTACAGTGATATTCGATTAAGAAACACCGGTGTAGAGTATAACAGTACGGAATAAGTGCACATCGAAGAAAAAATAAGAGATCAAAAATGAAATAAAATCGTAAAATATTAAATCAGACTAATGAATTGATTGTTTCTGAAGTGAACATCAACATTTACGTTCGGGTTGACGATCACTCCAAAACAATTACAACCTCGAGATCATACACACACACAAATATACAACTACGTTCAAACAGTTGTTCAGTACATCACCTAATTTGCATGATGATTTGCTGCGTAACAAGATAACACGAACTGTACAGCGCACAACAAGAGACAAAAGCGTTCAGATATGCGTCATAAGGAGCGTTAACTGGAACAAAACGCATCTGAAAGCGAACATTCGAATCGAATCGTTAGATACGATTGCGGGGTTGAATTACTAAGCAATGTTAGAATAACGATTGAGCAGAACACAGCGTAATTGAATATTAATCATTCGTATGCAATCGATTTGAGACAAGTTGATGGAGGAGGCACTAATAAGGTAGTTAATGTGAACATGAAAGATTTTTGCACGATCTTTAAATGAAACAATAACGATGAATAAAAGAATAAAACGAGTAATCGTCAAAAAATTTCATCTAATCAAGAGTAATTATAACTTTCAAAGATAATGAAAAACATATTTCGAACAATAGGATTTGCAACAATAATAGGACGATGAAAGGATCTGCAGTGTGTGATATCACATGATATCAAAGAGACGCACTTTACAAGAATATCAGCATGAAAAAACTTTACACAGCATTCGCATAACAATTACAGAGTAACATTCAGTTTATGAGTTTACTAGGGTGCAAGTTTGAACAGTGTTTCAGTGAACCGAAGACGTGATCATCAAAGAACATACCTTTACTGAGCGACACCCAAATTATCCAACGGTATTGCATGCATTTTCTGCAATTTTGCTTGTTAGACACTATTCATAAAAATAGAATTTCACTGAACCGGNAAAAAAAAAGATGAACTCCAATTAAATGTGCGCATTTTTAAATACTACCACTCTGGAATGGAGAAAAGATAAAATAATTATCGATGCTGACGCGTATGAACACCGAGAAGAGAAATAAGTAGCGAACTCACCGAATAAGCCTGAACCAAGTTTTTCGCTTTCTCGACGATTGGATCATCGAACCATTCGTCACGGATCGCCTCAGGTGCCGTTATTCTCTGATATACGTCCACTCGTAACATCTTACGAATTAAGCGTTGCGCTTTCTTCGATATTTCCCTCCAAACACTATAATAAATCAAACGACCTGAAACAGCAAAATCATATTGAATCAATCATGGAAATTAATATTCTTAATACTCGTCAATAATGAGTCAAACAAAAACAAAATCCAACAACAATATACTTCCAGACAAGATTGATTTCTCCACAAAAATAAATCGGTTAGTGAAATTTCTTAACAACACAGAATGGGATAGCTGACACAAATACTTTTTGGACATTCAGCGAATATGAATGTGAAACGAACCCTTCGCAATTTGCTGCTTCAGCGGCATATCAGTGTACTCATTCGAAAACGGTGGATAACCGCAAATGCACGTGAACAGAACTGCACCCAATGCCCACATATCAACTTCAGCTCGATATCTCGGCTCCGCTTTCCACAGCTCAGGTGCCATATAACACTGAGTACCACAGAATGTTTGCATTGTGTTATCATAAGCTCTACTCAAACCGAAATCTGACAACTGAAATGGAACAATGAACAAAGTTAAAATGTATTCGTAGACGCATAACCATCAGGTAATTTCTCAATATATAAGCATTCCTGTTGATAGCAACCAACTGGAAACTACAACTGGAGTCGGAAAATCCGGGAGTACATGAAGACACGTATTAACAGCGGATCAAACTCAATTCATGCGAACAATTTTCAAGGAACGACCATCCACTGAATCGTCGACAATTCACGATAAAAGAAATCAGAACAATGAAAACTAACTTTCAGAACGGTATATACATCCTTTTTAAGCAGTAAAACATTTTCGGGTTTGATGTCACGATGAACGATCTTTGTTTTATGAAGGAACTGAAACAGAGTACTCGTTCGGATTCGAATTCTTAACATGAACGCAAACTGCAACTTGAATGTGGTCAACCACTCGACTGGTTGAGTGCTTGACCACATATAACAATGAATCTCAAAACAAGACCACAGCAATTGAAGAAAATGGTAACTCAATGCAATAGTTGTATCTCAATGATACTGATGATGCAATATCGATGAAGACAACAACAGCACTACTGATAATATGAATGAGATCAAAATAATCAAAAACCTGCAACGCGTTGAGCATTTGCCACGCATAAAACTTCGTCAGCCCTTCACCAAGTCCTTTGCCCATATTCCTCTCATCAACAATACGTGAGAATAACTCGCCGCCTTCGATATATTCCATCACAATGTAAGCCATTTTCGATGATTCACATACATACTCCAATTGCACACAATTTGCCTTAATCGATAGCTGATCAGTAAACAACTTCAACAGTTACCATCTCAATCGAAGTGCACACAATCTCAAGATTTATGATACCAATTTCATCAAAAACCCCTTAAGATTTTTTAAAATAACACCTCATAAAAACTCAACAGCTCATCATGAAACACCAAATGCTAATGATGTTAATAAGATTGAATCAAACAATCACAAACCACGCCCTAATAGTAAAGATAAAATTCTTTCCAAAAACGTGAACAGTGAAATTTAGAAAATGAAAAAAAAATAGGCATCAAAGCGAACATGTTTAATGCTAAGCATGATGTCCACTTCACGTCGAATCAGTTCGGTTGATGAACCAAAGCCAGACTCTGAGCTGTGATCCCTTGATAATGATAATCCTCTCTTCGCAATCACCTTTATTGCAACACTCACTGAGGCGTTTGAACGTCGTTTACCCATGAAAACCTTCAAATGAACGTTGAACAAATAACTGCTTGTGCTTGAACACATCTCATTATTGCAATAGGTTTTTAGCTTCAGTAAATCATTTCATTCACGTTGACAACTTAATACTTTCGTGAATCTTTTAGCAAAAGTGTTGGATATTTAAAGGGCTTTAACTGATAGTTCAAATTTACTTACAAGGGAAGGTCACGAACTTACCCCCACGTTTCGGGATGAAATATATATCTTGTTGTAGATCTCGTCGAGCTGATCACGAATGTGCAAAGCATTTTTGCGAAACACAAAGGGGGAGCGAGATATGAGGGGGGAAAGATTNAACGTAACACCACTGAAAGAAGTAACCGAAGAATTTCGGATCGCCAACACTGATGATATCACCGCTTTGAAGTAATCGACATTCGCCTCTGCCAATCAACTTCTCATTCACAAATGTCCCATAACGACTCGTATCGTGCAGATACGTTCGTCCTCCCTCAAAATCCTTAAATATTTCTTAATGGTTCAACTGCAGCACAGACAAACCATCTTCAATACATGCTTAATTAAACACGATCATGCAAACAATCTGATCAGTGACATTTTAGGCTTATCACATAAGACAAACACAATACAGTTGTATATTGGAATAAATGAGAGCGAGTAATAAATGAGATGACAGAACATTAATAAAAGAGAACAAAATAATTAAATGAATAAGACTTTAGTTTTCCGGAATAATTTAAGAATACGATGAAACTAACGATACCCGTTGAATATAGCAATGTTTCGTACTCACACTACTCAAAAGACGCACACTCTCGCCGGATGCCAGTTCGTGAAAATCACAAAAATCCACAAAGTCTGGATTACGACCGAATCCAAAGAATTCCGTGTAAAGAACTGAAAAAACAAACAAAAATGGCAAATAAAAAATGAAAAGAAAAAAGCTCATAGAGTGGAAAAATTCAATCATTTTTCAACGTTTCCCCGTGCATAGAAAAAACGTCGAAATAAAATCACTTTAAGGCATCACCTCACAATCGTGTACATCGTGTATCTGACAGTGGAAAATAAGATTGAAAGAATCTAATAATATGATTCTAAGTAATGAATCTCTGATTATTGGTTCCATTGGAACAGAATAATTCACATGTTAACATAATAGAACAAAGTGATGGAAGTTATGTTCAAAGGATTAAAAACCCATTGATGTCTGAATACGATAGTAACTTGCCGATTTGGTTGAGGCCACGATCCATTGGATGTAAAGTTGCGTACTTCTTCTGATCTAATTCATCTTCTTCGATACTTCGATACTGAAAAATAGCCAATTATAAATGCATCAACATTCATTAAAAAACTGAAGTCCATCTTTCACGTCGAACAGATTCACGACCTAGCTGTAGCTCAAACGTGAGTCATTACGTTTACCTACAATCAAAACTCCACTGAAAAAAACCTTATCGAAAACTTCTTCCATTTCAACATATAGAGAAATTTGGATCTGTCAGACTGATACGGAATCTCACTTGATGATAGCAAAGAAATGTTGAAAATTAAAATGTAAATCGGAACGGTTGTTTTTTTTTCTCAGCTCTTTTCTCATCTAATTAATGCCCATCAAGTAGAAATATATTGATAGTGTACCTAATCCAGTTCAACAAAATGCATAAAACCAAATGCCATCAGAACTACTAACGTTTAGAAGTTGACTGAACTGACTCTCTTTCTGTGTGAGTGTGCACTCATAGCCTGCCTTCTCGTCATCGTCCTGACTATCCATCAACTCTGGTCCGTTCGTATGGCTCATCATCCAAACCTGTAACCACACCATAAATAACATCTTACACCAAACATACAACACAGCTACTACTCGATATATTCCTTTCCGTGCAAACGTTGCATGTTTTACGCTAGAATACTTTCTTCGTGAGAGATTCTCAATATTCACTAGTTCAAGCATCACAGAAGGATATTTAAGTGTTCCCTTCCCACCACCCAAACTGAAGGATTACTGAATTGCCAGTCCCTGACCAACGGGCTAGACCAAGATTTGCCAGCAGATCGGGCTAAGACTTGTCGGGCCCACTTTGGCCAAGATTTGCTTGGTCAAGCTAAGACTTCGCAAACTTCTAGTCTGGCCCGGTAGTTCGTGACGGTCAATTTTCCACATTCCATCCAAACTGATACTCACCCTAACCAATGTTGTCGACATCATTCGAATAGTTGATATATTAACTTCAATTAATAAGACAATCAGCATAAAAACACAAAAATGCAACATCCGAACTCATCACCACTACTTGAACAGTTTGTCGTCGGAAACAGCTGGTCCACAAAGCTAAGCTAATCGCTCGTCGTGCAGTTTGTCAATAGTAAAAGAGGCGTGGTCCAGTTACAGTTATCCAATAAGCATTGCCACAACTAACAATACGGATAACATTTCACTTCTACGATGAGATTAAACGGATGGATATGTGTATAGCAGTGATGGATGGCATCGGAGTTGCGATATCCGAACAGTTTGGAAGGTCAGTCGGACTTCCAAATGATGGAATGTGAATTCGGGTTTAGATAAAGGAGTCTACACCAGCATTGCATATTTCCACTTTAGAATTTTATATCTGATTCTGTATCCACACCTAAGTTAACCTTAAAATTACAAGCATAGGACATGCGAGGTTGTCTGCCCAATTGATATCATGACCTTCTTACGAAGTGTTTTCAATCAGTTCAATCAATTCATTCAGTTCGTCAAAATGCAAAAGCATTGGTATTCCTCAAGATTTTCAATGTATTCCAACTGAAAACGGATTGCAATAAATTATCTAATTCCCCTCTGAACTAATAAACTTCCTTGCAGCTTGTAGTTTACTAAATAGCAAGCACAGCTTATATCATAACGCATTTACTGCTCACAATTAGATGTGCATTATCCCCCTTCAATTGCTCCTCTTTCGTTTGCTTTTGCATAACGATTTCTCTCTCATTCAGCCGGATAGATCTGTATTTACGAATGCGACGAGTGTGCTGACAATGTGATCATTGAGTGTTCAATGTACAATCATCACAACAACATCACGTCATCCTACAATGTTCGAAGGTCAACGAAATTCTCGTTAATCAACGCAGTCACATCGATATTCCACGTAAACAATGCTGCAGTGTCTCACCTTGATTGCAAACGACATTCTTGAGACGCCATAATACCTTCGTCTACCTTCCTCACTCAGTCATCTGTTTTCCGGACTCAAATTGACGAATTTCATCTCGGTCCGGTGAAACAAATCAACGATTCTTCAATTTCTTTGCATTACCATTGAGATTCAACGAAAATAATTCGATGGCATTGTCGAAAAGTTTCCGTTCCATAACATCACTGCATTTCTTTCAAACAAATTATTTATTTGCATGCTCATGCAAATGTCGTCTGACAATGGGAACATTCCTAAAGAACCGATGCAAAATTGCTGCTGCTGTCAATTTCAATTTGCTATCATCATTTGCCAGAGTTACTCAGCTATGTCCTCCTATTCAGTTGATACCAACTTAATCGTATGTGTGAGTTCAGCTGAAAGAAACACTCACATTTTCATTCTGCTATTCATTTCCATTTAATTTATTCTGTTCGAATAAACTACAGTAGTTTGTTGCGTAGCGATTCGCTAGTTTAATGGTACTTGTTATATAATCGTTTGTACAGTAAGAAAAAGCAAACCACTGAACGAGATACTGTAAATTTAATAGCGAGCACGCGGCGTGGTTCATTCTCAAAGTATTTGTGTGAAAACAGAGCTAATTTGAGGTTAAGTCACGATGTTGTGCCGACGTTTAACGTTTCATACTCGTGATGTCCTGCAAAAAGTTCAAACTCGACTTATGTCATTCGGTAAGTTTTCATTGAAACCGTATACCTAATCCGAGATTTATTCAACTCCCGCATCTTCTCACCATTGCATATGCCAGCTTAAAACGAAAGAATCCCTAATAATGAAATCACTGAGGTTGAATTGCATTAGTATAGAATAATGGATTTCAATGCCAACTAATCGCTCCCCACGTTTGATCACAAGTTAGTGAGTGCTGGTTGTTGAGTGAAAGTGAATTTCAGACGTTTAATTGAAAATGATGAGTGGATCTGGCATTGTTGTCGTTT